AAAAACAACAACAATCTTAGAACTGCAGTATATCCAAGAAAATATTAGTAATGAAAGATGTAGACTGATATATGGTGTTGCTCAATCCGTGTAAGATCAAGCAGACAACAAAATAAACAAAAATACAAATATCTAAATAATGTAATTAATATGTTAGATCTGGTTGATAAATATCAAATTCTATAACTTAAATTATTTGCCTATTTTCAAGTTTCCATGAACATCAAATAACCTATACGCTAAAAAAGGAAAAAATTTGTTAGAACTTGGGTTTTTACCATTAAAAGTGTGAATGCCAGTTATGTCTTTAAATAAACTGGCTATAAAACAATGAGAATTATTTCAATCTCAAAGAATTTTCTAAGGATTAAATAAGATACTATATTTAAAGTTTAGTAGTCTGGCACATGGTCTCAGATAAATTGCTCTTATTATTGTAGGATTCTGCTTTATGTTTTAGATATTCTTTATTGAAATGAAACATTATTTCTTGGTATAGTCATCTACTTATCTTTAATAACAGCAAAAAATCATAAAGAATCTAAAAATCACATTTTCCAAAAATGGAAATCATTGTTATAATACTAAAACTTCAACTGATATATGAAATGCATAAACTAGAATGCAAAGAATCTACACAGTTTTTAACTTCCTTGTCCTATTCCATCACAACTCTTTATGACATAAACACACGTAAGTTATTCACATATTTAACTTAGTTCAAAAATATATCTTAGAGATCTTTCCATATCATTACCTATTATAGAGATTCCATTCTTTTAAAAGGTTGTGTAGTGTTGCTCTATTACATGAATATTGTATGAAATTTTGGTTGTTTCTAATATGACTAATCCCAAACAATGTAATAATACATTTTGGATGTAAAGCTGCATTTTGGAAAATGGCTAGGAGTTTCCCTAGTACTGAAGTATATGTAATAAACTATATACAAAACAGAAAGGAAATAAGAACATTTCCTTTTACCTGTATATGCAAAAAGAAAACTGGCGAAAATACAAAACCAACTAATAAAAATTCTTTGAGAGCCATTCTGGCAACCAGGTAAATAAGAGACACAATTATGATTTTTCACTTGTGTGACATTGTAAACTTCTTATTTTGAATAATATCACTGTATTACCTACTCAAATAATTAAAAGTTAATTAAAGAAATTTAACCCTTTTTTCCAAATTCAAAACATAAAAAAAAAAATCAGGCACTTGTACAGGTTAATTCTCATATAAGAAGAAAACACAAGTGTTGGGGCGCCTGGGTGGCTCAGTGGATTAAACCACTGCCTTCGGCTCAGGTCATGGTCTCAGTGTCCTGGGATCGAGCCCCGCATCGGGTTCTCTGCTCAGCGGGGAGCCTGCTTCCCCCTCTCTCTCTCTCTGCCTGCCTCTCTGCCTACTTGTGATCTCTCTCTCTGTCAAATAAATAAATAAAATCTTAAAAAAAAAAAAAGAAGAAGAAAACACAAGTGCAATTATCAGAGACTGTATTCTGGGAGCTGAGTAGTGATAGACCAAATACAGGTTTGTATATGAATAAAGAGATGGTATTTGAAATTCTAAAAACGTTCCCTTATTTTTTCTACTTTTTCTGTCAAATGTTGTATTTGTTTAAAGATTTATTTATTTATTTGAGAGAGAGACAGAAAGTGAGTGTGGAGGCTGGGAGGGAGGCAGAGGAAGAGGGAGAGAGAGTCCCAAGCAGACTCCATGCTGTTCTAAGCCACAAAGCCACCCCTCCTTCCTTTCTTTCTTCATATAATCTACCTGGACCTTTTTCTTCCTCTTTCCCCCTTCCTGCCATTTATACTAGGCATACAAAGAGAATATAGGCTATCCTCAGACCACAGTGGGATACTGTAATACACACTAAAATATTTCAAGTAAAATGTTATCTACACCCCATATTTCATTTGTACTTTGAAAAAATTTTTTTTTTCCTTTTCTTAGTGGGTGCGGCAGAAGAAGATGGGGAGAAACTCTTAAGCCAGCTCCTCACCCAGCCTGGAGCCCAAACCTGGGCTCAATGCCACGCTGGATCTCATGACCCTCAGATCAGGACCTAAGCCCGAAATCAAGAGTCAACTGTTTAACCAACTGAGCCACCCAGGTGCCCCTGAAAATTTCTTAAAATTTAATTTCGAGAGCTTACTACTCCAACAAAAAAACCTGAATTAATTAAGGACAATTACACAAACTACATCCTGAATGGAGTTAAAATAATTATTTCATATGAAATGCTCCATCATTTGGGACTTAAGTCTGACTGTTGAAAATTAAATGTAAAATTTAGATTTTCATTGTATAATGTGACATGCACATATTACCATAGAAACAAAAATAAGATAACTGAAGAAAATATGTAAAAATGTCTTTTTTTATGTCTTCTTTGGAGAAGTGTTTGTTCATGTCTTCTGCCCATTTTTTGACATTAGTATCTGTTTTTTGAGTGTTGAGCTTGAGGAGATCTTTATAGATCTTGGCTATCAGCCCTTTGTCTGTAGTGTCATTTGCAAATATCTTCTCCCATTCCGTGGGCTGCGGCCTCTCTGTTTTGTTGACTATTTCCTTTGCTGTTCAGAAGCTTTTGATCTTGATGAAGTCCCAAAAGTTCATTTTCACTTTTGTTTCCTTTGCCTTTGGAGACATATCTTGAAAGAAACTGCTGTGGCCAATGTCGAAGAGGTTACTGCCCATGTTCACCTCTAGGATTTTGATAGATTCCTGCCTCACTTTGAGGTCTTATATCCATTTCAAGTTTATCTTTGTGTATGGTATCAGAGAATGGTCGAGTTTCATTCTTCTATACATAGCTGTCCAATTTTCCCGGCACCATTTATTGAAAAGAATGTCTTTTCTTTTATTGTATAATTTAATAATTTATTAATTTATTGTTCTTTTATTACACTGTATATTTTTTCCTGCTTTGAAGATTATTTGACCATAGAGTTCAGGGTCCATAACTGGGCTCTCTATTCTGTTCCACTGGTCTATGTGTCTGTTTTTGTGCCAGTGCCATGCTGTCTTGGTGACCACAGCTTTGTAGAAAAACTTGAACTCAGGCAACGTGATGCCCCCAGTTTTGTTTTTCTTTTTCAACATTTCCTTAGCAATTCGAGGGTCTCTTCTGGTTCCATACAAATTTTAGGATTGTTTGTTCCAGCTCTTTGAAAAATGCCGGTAGAATTTTCATCAGGATGGCACTGAATGTATAGATGGCTCTAGGCAGTATAGACATTTTAAACAATGTTTATTCTTCCAACCCATAAGCATGGAACGCTCTTCCATCTTTTTGTGTCTTCTTCAATTTCTTTCATGAGTGTTCTGTAGTTCCTCTAGTACAGATCCTTTACCTCTTTGGTTAGGTTTATTCCTAGGTATGTTATGGTCCTTGGTGCTATAGTAAATGGAATCAATTCTCTAATTTCCCTTTCTATATTTTCATTGTTACTGTATAAGAAAGCAACTGATTTCTGTATATTGGTTTTGTATCCTACCACATTACTGAACTGGTGTATGAGTTCTAGCAGTTTGGGGGTGGAGTCTTTTGGGTTTTCCATATAAAGTATCATGTCATCTGTGAAGAGAGAGAGTTTGACTTTTTCACACCAATTTGAATACCTTTTATTTCTTTTTGTTTTCTGATTGCTGTTGCTAGAGCTTCTAGTACTATGTTGAACAACAGTGGCGAGAGTGGATATCCTTGTCATGTTCCTGATCTCAAAGGGCAGGCTGTCAGCTTTTCTCTATTGAGGATGATATTTGCAGTGGGTTTTTCATAGAAAGATTTTATTAAGTTGAGGAATGTTCCCTCTACCACTATACTTTGAATCATTTTAATCAGGAACGAATGCTAAGAAGACATACAAATGGCTAACAGACACATGAAAAAATGTTCATCATCATTAGCCATCAGGGAGATTCAAATCAAAACTACATTGAGATACCACCTTACACCAGTTAGAATGATCAAAATTAATAAGACAGTAAACAAGTGCTGGAGAGGATGTGGAGAAAGGAGAACCCTCTTACACTGTTGGTGGGAATGTAATTTGGTACAGCCACTTTAGAAAACAGTGTGGAGATTCCTCAAAAAATTAAAAATAGAGCTACTCTATGACCCTGCAATTGCACTACTGGGTATTTACCCCAAAGATACAGATATAGTGAAAAGAAGGGCCATCTGTACCTCAATGTTCATAGCAGCAATGGCCGTAGTCACCAAACTGTGGAAAGAACCAAGATGCCCTTCAACGGATGAATGGATAAAGAAGATATGGTCCATATATACAATGGAGTATTATGCCTCCATCAGAAAGGATTAATATCCAACTTTTATATAACATGGACAGGACTGGAAGAGATGATGCTGAGTGAAGTAAGTCAAGCAGAGAGAATCAACTATCATATGGTTTCACTTACTTGTGGAGCATAAGGAATAACACGGAGGACATTGGAAGATGGAGAGGAGAAGTGAGATGGGGGAAATCGGAGGGGGAGAGAAACCATGAGAGACTGTGGACTCTGAGAAACAAACTGAGTTTTTGGAGGGGGCCATGGAGGGTAGAGTGAGCCTGGTGATGGGTTCTATGGAGGGCACGTATTGCATGGAGCACTGGGTGTGGTGCATAAACAATGAATTTTGGAACACCAAAAAGAAATAAAATAAAATAAAATGGAAAAAAAAGTCTTTTTTTAAAAAAATTTGTAGTATACCAAATACCTTATTTTCATTTAAAATGAGAATGTAAAAAGCATATATTATAATGCATACAAATTTAATCTTAAAATTTGATGATTCAGAGGAAATTTTAAAATCTTATATGAAAATAATCATTATGAATATAAATCTTTGCCTAAATTATATGGAAACACCACTAGGAGAAGATTTTTTACCTAAATATCTCCACAAAACATTTACTATAAATCAATCAGTATTTCTAGGGATTTGCAAACCTTTTTAAAATTAAATTTTGAAAAAGTTTTACCTTCATGTGATTTTTCAAAGGATCCAAAAGATTAAAATGAATATTGCACTTTGGACAAGCTCTCGGAAAAGGTGTTCCATTTTTAGATTGATTTGAAGAGGTATTTGTACCTAAAATAAATTCAAAACACATATAATACAAAATTCATCACTTTATAACCTTAAATAACCACTAATAACAATTTCTAAATTTACTACAACTTCTAAAACTTATGTATAAATAATCTTTTTTTTAAGTGGGGGAAGGACAAAGGGAGAAAGACAGAGAATATTAAGCAGGCTCCATGTCCACAATGGAGTCCACTGTGGCTCAATCTCACAGCCCTGAGATCATGACCTGAGCCAAAATTAAGAGTCAGATGCTTAACCAACTGAGACACCCAGGAGCCCCTATAATTTCTTTTTTATATGCCACATTTCACATTTACCTTTTGATGATGCAGCCTGGGAAGATGTCACTGAAAGAGATTTAACTGAAGGAAATACAGCTGAAGAATTTAATCCAGAAATACCATCACTGGGCTTTGGCTTTTTTGGATTAACGCTGTTTACTTCAGAAGTAGAAGGACGTTTTGATAAAAACGAACTTTCATTCATACCTACAATGAATTAAATAGTGGGAAGTATATTTTTAAACATTTAGGCATATTCCTTATAACAAAGTAAAACTATTTTGGAGCTAAATTAGATGTAATACAATTAAATTATCCTATCATTCAACTGACAATAAATAATGATTAAAAACTGTTATGATCAAAAGTCAGGGAGTATATCAAATATCAATCTTGAAAAAGAAGAATAAAACTGGAGTATCACAGTCTCAGATTTCAAGATATACTACAAAGCTGTAGTAATCAAAAGAGTATGGTACTGGACAAAAAGAGACACACTGATCAATACATTACAATAGAGAGCCCAGAAATAAACCCATGATTTACATGGCCAATTAATCTACAACAAAGGAGGCAAGAATATAAAATAGGAAGAAGTCTCTTCAACAATGATGTTGGGAAAACTGGACAGCTACATACAAAAGAATGAAATTGGACCACTTTCATACACCATCCACAAAAAAAACTCAAAATGGATTAAAGACCTAAATATGAGATCTGAAGCCAAAATTTCTAGAAGAAAACATAGACAGTAATCTCTTTGAAATCAGCCATAGAAACATTTTTCTAGATATGGCTCCTCTGGGCAAGGGAAACAAATGCAAAATTAAACTATTTGGACTACACCAAAATTAAAGACTTTTGCATAGCAAAGGAAACCATCAAAACAAAAAGGCAATCTACCAAATGGGAAAAGATATATCCAAATGATATATCCAAGAGGGAGTTAATATCCAAAATATAAAAGTAACTTATACAACTCAACACCAAAAAACCCCCCAAATAATGCAATTAAAAATGGGCAGAAGACATGGACAGACATTTCTCCAAAGACATAAAAATGGCCAACAAGCACATGAAAAGATGCTCAAAAGCACCAGTTAACAGTGAAATACAATTCAAAGGCACAATGAGACATCACTTCACACCTGTCAGAATGACTACAATCAGGACAAGAAGTAACAAATGTTGATGAGAATGAGGAAAAAAAGGAACCCTCCTGCATTGCTGGCAGAAATGCAAGCAAGTGCAGCCACTGTGGAAACAGTATAGAGGTTCCTGAAAAAATTAAAGGTAGGATTACCATATGCTATGAGTAGAATTCTAAATAGAATTACCATATGAGTAATTCCACTACTAGGTGTTTACTCAAAGAATACAAAAACACTAAAAGATATGTTTATTGCAGCATTATTTACAATAGCCAAGATATGGAAGTAACCCAGGTGTCCACCAAGAGATGAATGGATAAAGATTTCGCACCTAAATAAGTGGAATAAAAAAGAATGGAATTTTGCCATTTGCAGTAACATGGATGGATCTACAAGATATAAAGGATATAATGCTAAAGTAGTAAGTAAATAAGTCAGAGAAAGACAAATACCATACAATTTCATTCACATGTGGAATTTAAGAAAGCAAACAAATGAACAAAGAAAAAAAGGACAGAAAGAAAAAAACCAAACACTTAAAATACAGAGAACAAACTGGTGGTTGCCAGAGGGAAGGTAGGTACAGGGATGGGTGAAAGAGGTGAAGGGATTAAAAATAAACTTATTGTGATAAGCACCAAGTAATGTACAGAATTACTGAATCACTATACTATACATCTGAAACTCATAAAACACTATTTAATTATACTTGAATTTTTTTTTTTTAAAGAAGGGGAGGGGCAGAGAGAGAGAGAGAATCTTAAGCAAGATTCACACCCACAATCGATGGAACCTGATGTGGGGCTTGACCTCACAACCCTAAGATCATGACTAAGTCAAGATCATGACCTGAGTCAAAATCAAGAGTTGGATACTTATCCAACTGAACCACCCAGGAGCCCCTATACTTGAATTTTTTTTAATTAAATTAATGGGGGGGGGGACTAACATGGTGGCATAGTAGGAGGATCCTAGGCTCCTCTCGTCCTTTGAACGCAACTAGATAATTATCAAATCATTCTGACTACCCAAGAAATCAACCTCAGGACTGACATCACAACTAGAGGGAGAAAAGAGGCCACATTTACGAAGGTAGGAAATACGGAGACATAGCTTGGGAAAGAAAGGGATCATGGGTGCTGCAGAGGAGAAGGAGCCCTGGTGGGTGAGAGAGGCACAAGGAGAACAATTCCCCAAAGCTACTGGCTGGGAAAACAAGAAGGGCTGATTTTCATGAGTTTTTGCAAACAGCAGGACTTGAAGACTGGAATTTTTTTTTTTTAATTTTTATTTATTTATTTGACAGAGAGAGATCACAGGCAGAGAGGCAGACAGAGAGAGAGAGAGAGAGGAGAAAGCAGGCTCCCTGACAAGCTGAGAGCCCGATGCAGGACTCGATCCCAGGACCCCGAGATCATGACCTGAGCCGAAGGCAGAGGCTTATTAACCCACTGAGCCACCCAGGCGCCCCGAAGACTGGAATTTTAAAGGTTGGTGGGCTTGGCTGGAATAGACCCCCTGAGGGCACTGTCTACTCCCTGAGAGAAAGAAGGCAAACAACCCCAGAGGCAGATGACACCATCTGAGGAATGTCTAAGGCACACAGCAGGGAGACTGTTCACTCTTCTTGGAGCACATCTGTGAGAGGTGGTGTTTACAGAGACACCTCTCCAAGGACAAAAGAGCTAGTGGATGCTATTTCCCTCCCCTACCCCTCAGCCGAGGCATGGAGCTGCCTACTAAAGAAAGCTTAGCTGGACATTGGCTGCCTAGCCTGCTTGCTCCAAGTCCCACAACGCTTTCCTCTGACTCAAGTGCCCTTCTCAGTCAAATCGGCATTAGTCCCAGTGCAGCAAGATGGTCCACCAGAAGACCAATGCAGGCCCCCACCCACACCACATCTCTAAAGTTTGGAGTTTTAAAGGTCAGCAGGGCTGGCTGAGATAGTGCCCAAAGTGCACTGTAATGCTACTGGCAGGCAAGCAACCCAGAGACAAAAAGAAAACAGCAATCTGAAAAATGCCTGGGATGCATGAAGGAAAATTATTCATTTGCTCTTCTGGGTGTCTTTCCCTAAGAGCAGCAAGCATGAAGCCCCCTCTCTGGGGACAAAGGAATAGGCTGGTGTCATTTCTCTCCCCATCCCCCACCCCCCAACTGAAACCCCTGCACACACCACATCTCCCAACCAGAAAGTTCTGCAAGCCTTCAGTTCTAGTGAAAGTAGTATCACATCTCATTTAATAAGCAGCAGACCAGAGTGCACCTAGTTAAAACTCACCACACACTGGCCAAGGCCCAAACACTACCCACTGCAGGCAAGAAGAGCATCTGCATATGACTGAACTGAATGATAGAGCAGCCAACACACAGCACCAGAGTGAATGCAGCACACACCAGAGACATACCCTGAAGCACCAAGCTCTGGACACTATATGGCCTCTTCATAAAGCCATTAGTCTCAGGAGCAGGAAATATAACAGGCTTTTCTAACTCACAGAAGACAGAGACTTAGACAAAATGCCATGATGGAACAATTCATCCCAAAGGAAACAAGAAAAAGTCACAGCCGGATATCTAATCAAAATAGATACAGGTAATATGCCTGATGGAGAATTTAAAGCAACAATCATAGGATACTCACTGGGCTTGAAAAAAAAAAAAAAAAGGAAGACTTCAGGGAGGCCCTTATGGCAGAGATAAAACAGTTAAAAAACAGTAAGTCAGAAATGAAAAATGTAATAACTGAGATTTGAAACAGACTGGATGCAGAGAACACAAGGATGAAGAAGCAGAGAAATGAATAAGTGATACAAAACACAGAACTATGGAAAATAATGAAGCTGAACGAAAGAAAAGAAGAATTATGTATAACGAGAATAGACGTAGGGAACTCAGTGACTCCATCAAATGTAATTAACATTCATATTACAGGAATCCCACAAAAAGGAGAGAGAAAAGGGGCAGAAAATTTATTTAAGGAAGTAACAGCTGAAAACTTCCCTAATTCAGGGAAGGAAACAGACATCCACATCCAGGAAACATAGAGAACTCTTATCAAAATCAACAAAAGCAGGCCAACACCAAGACATATTGCAATTAAATTTGCAAAATATAGTCATAAAAAAAGTCCCTAACTTACAAAGGAAGACCCATAAAGCTAGCTGCAGATCTCACCACAGAAATCTGGCAAGCCAGAAGAGAGTGACATGATATGTTTAAAGTGCTGAATGGGGAAAATCTGCAGCCAAGAATATTCTATCCAGCAAGGCTATAATTCAGAATAGAAGGAGATAAAAAGTTTCCCAGACAAAAACTTAAAGAGTTCATTACCACTAAACCAGCCCTCAAGAAATATTAAGGGGACTCTTGAGTGAAAAGAAAGACAGTAAGTGACAAAGAAAAGAAAAAAGAAAATCTCCACAAATAACAACCAAACAAATAATAAAATGGCCCTAAATACATATCTATCAATAATTACTCTCAATGTAAATGAACTAAATGCTCCCATCAAAAGACAAAAGGTATCAGAATGGATTTAAAAAGAAGAAAGAAAAAAGACTCTACCATATGTTGCCTACAAAAGACTTTTTAGACCCAGAGATACCTGAACATTTAAACTGGGGGATGGAAAAATATTATCATGCAAATGGAAATCAAAAGGAAGCCAGAGCAGCAATACTTGCATCAGACAAACTTGATTTTAAATCAAAGACTATAACAAGAGATGAACAAAGGGCACAATATCATAATAAAGGGGCTTATCCAACAAGAAGATCTAACAATTATAAATATTTATACCCCAACATGTGAGCACACAAATATATAAAGCAATTAATAACAAAATTAAAGAAACTTGTGGATAATAATATAGTAATAGTAGGGAACTTTAACACCCCACTTACATCAATGGACAGATCATCTTACCAGAATATCAACAAGGAAACAACGACTCTGAATGACACACTGGAACAGAAAGGATTTAACAGATATATTCAGATCATTCCGCCCTGAAGCAGCAGAATACACATTCTTTTCAAATGCACTAGGGACATT